GCCCCCCCCAGCCCCGGCCCGGCCCTTCCACCTGAGCCAGCCGCGCCTGAGCCAGCCGCGCCCCGGCTCGGCCTGGACCCCCGGCTCCCCCGACCCCGTCTCGCCCCCGGCCCCTCCCAGCCCCCCCCCCCGCCCCCCCCCCCCCCCCCCCCCGGCTCGGCCTGGACCCCCGGCTCCCCCGACCCGGCCTCGCCGGTCCCTTCACTCCCCCGGGCCGCGCGCCCCCAGCCCCTACCATAGCGGCGGCTTCGGTCCGGTCCGTCCGGCTCCCAGGAAGCGGAAGTGGCGGGTGCAGCCGCGGCGGCTCCTCTCTTCCGGGATGGGCGGCCCGTTCCATTGCCGCCCGCGGGGGTTTCTCATCGGAGCCTCCCTCCTGGCCGGGAATGGGACCGGCCGCGCCGACCCCTGACACCGGCAGCTCGCGCGGGGGGAGCGCTCGGGCGCCGCGGCCCCACTGTGAGCGCCGGGGCTCCTCTTCCCCCCATCCCGCACTTGGTACATTCCGGCCGCTGCTTCCATATTAGGGAACGGAGAGTGAGATTGTTCAACCAATGGGGCGGGGCCTCTGGGTGGCGCCCAGCCAATGGGGATCGGGTATGGCCACCTTGGGCTACGGGGGCTGGAAGGGCCGAGAGTGGTGTTGAGCCGCTGGAAGTACTGTCGGGACCCCCCTCCCCCGGCGTATCAGTGGTAGCGGCCGCCCCGCCGAGCGCCGCCGTCTCCTTGGACCCGCGATCGCCGGGGGCGCGGCCTGAGGCCTCCGCAGCAGGGACCGGCCACCCGGAAGCGCCCCCGTATCCCGGCGCCCCCGCGTTCCGCACCCCCCCGGCCCGGCACCCCCAACCCCCAGCGCACCCCGGGCCCCGCCCCCCCGCCCAGCCCCGCCCCCCCCAACCCCACCCCCCCCCCGGGCCCAGCCCGGCACCCCCGAACCCCAGCGCACCCCGCGTCCCGCACCCCCCAGCCCGGCGCCCCCGTATCCCAGTGCCCCCAACCCCGTCCCGCACCCCCCGTATCCCAGTGCGTCCCGCACCCCCCCGCGTCCCGCACCCCCCGTATCCCAGTGCGTCCTGCATTCCCCCGTATCTCGGCTCCCCCGTATCCCATAACCCCCTCCCCCGTGTCCTGCGCCCCCTGCCTCCCGCACCCCCCGTATCCCGGCACCCCCGAACCCCAGCGCCTGGCCGGGCGATGAGCGAGCTCAAGGACTGCCCGCTGCAGTTCCACGACTTCAAGTCGGTGGATCACCTGAAGGTCTGCCCACGCTACACCGCCGTGCTGGCCCGCTCCGAGGACGATGGCATCGGCATCGAGGAGCTCGACACGCTGCAGCTGGAGCTGGAGACGCTGCTGTCCTCGGCCAGCCGCAGGCTGCGGGTGCTGGAGGCAGAGACGCAGGTCGGGCTCCCTAGTTCCTCGGGGTGGCCTGGGGTACCTGGGTGATGGGCATGGGGAGGCTAGGCCACCCAGGGTCACGGCTCGGCGGCAGCTGGAGTCCATTGGTCTTGGCTTCTTGGCCAGGGACCGTTTGGGCCCAGGAGGGAAGTCCCTTTTATGTCCGATGGAAAAGGTACCCCATATCTGCAAAGCTCCCCCCACTTCTCACACAGCCCATTTGGTGCCCATGCCAAGAGCCGCTCGGTGGCAGTGCTGACCCAGCAGCAGGGGGGTAGAACCTGCAGGCTTCAAACAAGCCAGCAGTGAAATGGGTAACATGTTGGGGTTTGATGAGTTGTCATTACTCTTCAGAGTGAACAGCATAACAGAGTCCCAAGTAATGTCACAAGTTATTGGGGTGGCTGGGTGATGGTTAATGGCCAGGGCCCTGTGCTGTACAGGAGGTCAGACTGTGTGATCTAATGGCCCCATCTGGCCTAAAAGGCCACGAACCTTTGCCTTTCGGTAACGGCTGCAGCTGGGTCACTGCTTGTTGCTCTGTGGGTTGGTTCTGACCAGGAGGCCAGTTGGCTTGTTTTCTCTGTGCCTGGAATTGCTCCGTATAGCGGCTAGCCCCTGTTTTGTTCAATGTGCCATCTCCCCAGTGCTGGTTCCTCCCTCCCGTGGCAGACAATGCCGCAGCACAGCCCTGCTTGCTGCCAGCTTTGTGAGTCTGTCCAGCCATTTTTCCCTTCCTTTCCCCTCTGGGGGTTGTGCCTCAGTGCTCCCTGCAAGCTGTAGAGGGGTGCCATCCGCCAGGGAGAACAGGGCCTGAGGGGAAAGACAGCATGATGGTTGCTAGGGAAAAGGGGAGGCAGACACGGCTCACCGAGGGCACTGGATGGAACTAGACCCTTCCCGGTTCTGGGCTCAGCCAGCTGCCTGTCTGGTGTGACACAGGGCCATTCTCTTTCAGATTTTGACAGACTGGCAGGACAAGAAGGGGGACAGGCGGTTCCTGAAGCTGGGCAAAGAGCATGAACTGGGCACTCCAGTTAAACACGGCAAGCCCAAGAAGCAGAAACTAGAGGGGAAGGGTGGCCATGGCACAGGGCCCGGGCCTGGGCGGCCCAAATCCAAGAATCTCCAGCCCAAGATCCAAGAATATGAATTTCCAGACGACCCAGTTGACATGCCTCGGATCCCCAAAAACGATGCCCCGAACAGGTATGGGGTGTGTGTGTGAAGGGACACTGGGAGAGTGGGGGTGGAGACAGCTGGGGCAGTGAGCAAAGGGACACTGAGGGGTTCCCAAGGAAAACACTCATTTCCCTGATGCTCCGGGTCAAAGCCACCAGCTGCAAAGCTGAATTGGAGTTTGGATGATGTGAGAGGGAAGTCTGGTCTGGCCCAGAATCCATCTCCTGGGTAGAGGAGGAGCCACAGCTTAAGTCAGTGGCTCTGTTCCCGGCTTGGGGCGGCCACCTGCCCCCTTCCCTCTGAGTGCCTGCTTTGCTCTGCCCTGCAGGTTCTGGGCCTCAGTGGAGCCCTACTGTGCTGACCTCACCAGTGAGGAGGTGCGAACCCTGGAGGAGCTGCTCAAACCCCCGGAGGATGAGGCTGAGCACTACAAGGTAAAAACCTCAGCGCAGCCCCCTCCCAGCCCCACGCTATCCTCCTGCTGCCTGGTCTCTGCAGTCCTGTGCCTCGCGGTGGGTGCCGACTCCACTGGGGCAAGGCAGGCAGCAAAGGCCTGTGTTTGTGGGCCGTTCCCTCCCCTCTGGATCTGGGCAGTGCCACGGGGCTGTGATCGAGGCCGTGGCTACCTCTTGTCTGTGCAGGGGCAATGCAGGCCGGGCGGGAGGCTGTACTCCTGTGAGGCCTGTGCTGCTTTGCCCCCATTCTAGGTAGCAGAGGGGGGCTGGGCTCGCCATGGAATACAGCCGCCATTTCGGTTTCATTTCCAGGGGACTAAGTGTCTCAGGCCCTGGGTATCTGAAAGCTTGTCCCCTGCTCCAGCACTTGGGCCTCCCTCTGCTTTTCAGACACAATCAAACTGCCTGCTGCAAGGGAGCAGGAGACATCAGCCTCCTCGCAGGCCGGCCCCACACTGTGGCACTTGCAGCCTCAGGATCTGAATGAGACGAGACCTCTGCATGCTGCGGGCCATGCCCAAAGCTCCTGCCTGTGCTCTGCCAGGCCCTGGCCCAGCAGGTGGCTTTCAGTGAGAAACCCCCATTCCCCAGCGGAGCGGGAGGGCAGGGACAGTTGTTAGTCCGTGAGCGCTCAGATCCCCCACTGGGCAGCGCGGACTGAGAGCCTGGCTGGAGCAGCAGAGCTGCCCTTGTGAGGAGAGCAGTACATTCGGTGCGGGGGAGGAGATCGTGACTGCGGCTCAGCCCTGTTGTGCTGACGTGGGGCTGGAATGCAGAAAGTCACCTCAAAATGGCCTGGCCAAGCCCCACATCAGGGGAGCCTGAGGGAAAGCTGCGTGCGCAGCCTTACCCCTGCCCTGAGCGAGCTCTGATACCATCGCCAACAAGAAGGTCCCAGACCAGGGGTTTATCTCTAAGCGTCGATAGAAATGTGCAGCATCTCGGAGTACTCAGTACAGCTCTGCGTGTGCCCGAGGTCACCTAGGACTCGTGTGCAGCACCGGGGTGGACAGCTGAATTAGGAAGATGGAAATGCGCTGGCCTCCGAAGGGGTTTAGTGTTAAACTGCAGCATTACAGCGATCAGTGCAAATGCATCTTAATCTGCTGCTGCTTAATGCAGCTAAAGACGTGGCACCTGGAGACAGTTTGTGCCCACTCCAGGGAAAATGGAGCCAAATCGGTGGCCAAGCAGAATTTCTGGGCCGAAATACCTGCTTTAACAGTGTTCCAAAGAGTGCCTGTCCCAAACGCCGAACAATCCCCCCGTTCATTCGGACAGACACACTGGTCCTGCTGCTTCAGGCAGATCAGTGGGACACTAACCCAATCGCTGTTCAGAGTCAGGGGTGGGACAGGCCTGCAGAGAGGTATATGAAAATCCAGACCATAGCGAGAAGCAGAAGTCTTCTGGCCCAGCTGCCCCATGTGACCCTGACCGGTACTCACCCGCTGCCCTCCCAGCACACCCAGCGAGAGCGCCCGGGCACCGGCTCTGCTGCCCCTATGCCCATGTGACCCTGGCCGGTACTCACGCGCTGCCCTCCCAGCACACCCAGCCAGAGCACCCGGGCACC